GCGACTGTTCTCGATACAAATACGCTGAAGACGTTGATAGAGAACGTAGCTTTGGATATGAAAGAGGAAGAGGATAAACGAGGACTACGACTACCTTCTGAACAGTCTCTCTACTCTTGCTTCACAGTCGCGCACTATGACTCCTAACCACAACTCTCTTAGAATGTCTGATGCCGCACGAAATCCTCTTGCTAAGAGGAGGCAAATGGACAGAAAAAAAATCATGTTGAATACACATTAATAAGTCGGCTCTGTAGGCAAAGACTTGCTGAAGATCTCAAAATTTCTCCCGTGACCGTCTATTAGAAGCTCCGTCCAACAGGCGTAGTGTGAAAAAGACAAAACGAGAGCTGACGCAGTACCGCTTGACGATTTCTTGCTTGAAAGGCCGGATGGTTCCAGAACTACGTCTCGACCAGAAATGGAGTTGATTTTGACGCATTTCTATTCGGATCTTTTTAAATCTGACCACGGCATCTCTACTGAACAGATACCTATCGGCGAAATGGTGCCATCATTTTTACCATCAGAAGTTCGTCACGCAATCGAAACAATGCCGAAAGGAAAAGCCCCTGGAGCTGATGGATTATCCTTGGAGGCCGTACAAGCATGTAGTCATTAAATTCACTGTGATTTAGCCCAACGCTTCACTCGCTACGTCAATGACTGCAAAGCACCAGACGCATGGAGAAAATCCAAGACAATTCTGCTGTTCAAAAAAGGAGACAAAGAAGACTTGGACAACTATCGACAAATTACGCTCCTGCCGGTGATATACAAAGTATTCACACGCTGCCTCCTCGCTCGAATAAGGAGGCAACTTGATAAAGCCCAACCGGCCGAACAGGCAGGATTCCGGCGGAAGTTCAGCACTTTGGACCACATCATTACTTGCTGTCGAATTATTAAAGCAGCTCGTGAACACCATGAACCGCTCATACTAACATTCATCGAATATCGGAAAGCATTCGATTCAATAGAACGAGAAAAAATATGCTCGGCTCTTGACGAACAAATATGCTCGGCTCTTACGAACAAGGTATCGATCCCCGTTACACGAAAATCTTGAAGGAATGCTAATCAGGATGTGTAACAGCGTTCCGACCGTACTTCCGCGACCTAGAGGTGACTGTGGAAAAAGGAGGCCGCCAAGGAGACCCTATCTCCCCAAAACTTTTCGCTGCATGCCTGGAATACACTATACGTCACTGCGCATGGGATTCTAAAAGAATCAAAATCGACGGAAGGTATTTAAGTCACCTGAGATTTGCGGACGACTTAGTTCTCATTTCAAGAACATCGGATGAAACTTCTCAAATGTTAAATGACTTACATGTAGCTGGTATCAAGGCCGGTTTGAACATCAACATGAAGAAAACGAAATGTATGAGGAACGAATACTCAGATCGCAATCCTTTTACCTTTAAGGAGAACCCTTGGAGGATGTCGATGATGACGTGTACCTTGGCCGACTACTTAACATGAAAAATGACCTAATGAGCGAATTGATGAGAAGGAAAAAAGCTGGCTGGGCTGCGTATAACTCGATCAAGAACGTAATCGAACATACTCGGGAAGATGAATTGCGAGCAACCCTGTTTAACTATACGGTGCTACCAGCCCTGAGCTACGCAAGCGAAACTTGGTCTCTGACGAAAAATTCGGAAAACCAGCTACGAAGGATACAAATATCCCTCGAGCGTCGAATGTTCGGGATAACCTTGCATCAACAACGGTTTAACAGGCTGCACAACGAAGACATACGTTCGTTGTCTAAAGTTCGCGATATTATTCTGCGCAAAACACGTCTTTGCTGGACATCTGATAAGGCGCGATGACGGTCGTTGGAGTACAACAAGTGTGTGCTGGGAACAACGTGAGAAGAAACGGGCTCGTGGTCGACCTTCCCTGCGATGGCAAGACTCTCTTGCTCACAGAAACAATATCTGCGATTCTAATTCAATTAAGGTGTCAGTCCACTGTACAACATTGGCTCAAGATAGAAAATCATGGAAAAGAAGTTGGGACCCACGCATCAATGGCAGCTGACAACGGGTCGCCAAGTAATCCAAGTAAGTAATATGCAAAAGAATTTAAACACTGATGGTAAATCGTAGGAAGTGACTAAGCTGTGCTCCGCCCGCAGGGGGAAAGTGCTAGAACGTTGTTGCTAAAAGGGTCATAGGTGACGTGCTAACCTTGAAACAAAACATTTGAGCCTGGCAATATGAGTGGTGGCCTCTGTATATAAACCCGAAATCAATGGAAAGTTCTGGCTGAAGACCATTAGGAACCTAATGAAGAGCCGTCGTGGTTTGGGGGACGGAACATTCACCCAATCTGGATGGACGCGACAAACTGCGCGGCGAATTTCGTGGCGATTTTAACGACACCGGCACCTGTTATTGGGCCACAAATTTGAACAAAGGTAGATATTATAAGTAGCATCAGATAGCCCCACTGATCCAATCTTCTTAAAACCCGTGCCCCAATGACAGACGCCAGGGTCGTTCCATTTACCACGAATTTCGCCGCGCGGTTTGCGGCGTCCATTCAGAATTGGTAAATGTACCCATACCCGTCGTGGATTCGATAGTGTTAGGGAAAAGAACACGGTGGCAGAGCGAGGCACGTGGATATAATATGGGGACTAAAATGTTGTTCATAAATAGGCAGTATTGTGAGTCGTTTCTGCGCAACCAACGTGAAAAAACAGAAATAGCAAAATCATCAACTTAAAGTGAAGTAGTTGTGACGTCGATCAACTGTTCCCGCGAGACAATGACAACTGTGTGAACGGTCTTAATAAGAGCTGAAATCGACTGAATTTGTTGAACTGGACCGATTTTGTGGTTATTGCTAGTGGGCGCAAGCCTAGGAGTAAACGGTTCAGAGTGGGAGGCGTGCCAGAGCCTCCTCCGAACTCTGCCAAATCTATTTATACTATATATTTCCCTTGACGTCATAACTCTATTTGAATGCACGAACTTCGACACATCACAGTTTGCATGACCGTCAATCGATAGCTCGCAGCCGATGAGTCATGCTGCGGGATGCCGGCACAACGCGAACGAGTGGAGGATGGTTCCGTTTTGCGATTTTGTCGGCAGATTTTGTTGTGATTTTTTTGTCGCGTCCCGGTCTTCTGTGTGCGTATGTTCGCGTGAGCTTACTACTTTATTTCGTCATCATTATCTTCAAATAGAATTTCTTCAATTTCTTCAATTCAATTTCTAACGTTCAATCGCCCAACTTTGCTCTTTCACATGACGGATTTTACTCGTGCCAGTTGCTAGTTGTTCTTTGTTCGTTATATTACTGCCACGCACGGCTATTTCGTTTGAGTGATGATTTCATAGCTCCTGCGCTGATTATTTAGTACTTTGAGTTTACTACACTTCTCTAATAACATCCTGAAAAAGGTGAAACGTGTCAACCCAAACTACTAAGTAATCAGAGTTCTAGTTATGTTTACTGGTTCTTATTCTATCGCGTTTACCGACTTAGGGATTCCATGTAAAAAGTTTTTATTTTTATAGCTCGCTCATGTTTCAGAAGTTGTGGCTGGNCGTTATATTACTGCTACGCACGGCATTTTTTCGTTTGAGTGCTGATTTCATAACTCCTGCGCTGATTATTTAGTGTTTTGAGTTTACTACACTTCTCTAATAACATCCTGAAAAGGTGAAACGTGTCAACCCAAACTACTAAGTAATCAGAGTTCTAGTTATGTTTACTGGTTCTTATTCTATCGCGTTTACCGACTTAGGGATTCCATGTAAAAAGTTTTTATTTTTATAGCTCGCTCATGTTTCAGAAGTTGTGGCTGGCGCCCATGAAGTACTCGCACGGTGGGGAAGAAGGAAAGGAGCAGATACTCGGCAGGCCAGTGTGCGGGTATTATGGGAAGTAAAAAGAGCAGCGAAGGACACCAGTTCACAACACAAGTATCAGTGTAGTGGGAAAAGGACATGACCAGATTTTGCTCAGCTATTTGTAAGGGGAGAATCGCCCTTAGCTGAGTGATTCCGCTGTATCATCGCGTGTGCATCGCAGGCGAAGATTCCCTTTCGACCCCTCTCCTGGCGAGGCGAACCACTATGACGGATGTCCGCCTTTGCTTCTCACACAGTAATATACCCTTTGCTATTCGTACGTGATAGAGTTCTTGATCAGAACGCTCTATCTTTCGCCATTTCCGACTAGTCCACTCAACCACGGCAAAGTGTTCTGAAGGTTTTCAACACAATCTTGAGTTTCTAGTACCCATACCGCGCTGATTGTTTAAGTAGCGAGCAAACAGGAAACAGGATGGATCATTTCCCAAAACGAGTGATCGAATTTGAGAAGGCGCGATCTCGCCTAATCGAATTGCTGGAGAAGGAAAGATGCATTCGGGTTAGGACAAGTGAGCAATTTAAAATGCTAGGGAAGAAAGATGTTGCCTCGGCGAACATTTGTGAAATAATGGCTGGTGAAGGATTCACTATACCTCGTGAGTTTCGTGTACTGATCTTTATTGACTGGGCAATCCCATGAAAAGCTCTCACGTTTGCAACATTAGTGGAGGACTTGAAGGCGATGTGGCGGTGTCTGCGGGATCGCTTTAAGAGAGAAAAATCTAAAGCAACCGGATCATCAGCAAAGCAACCATGGGTTTTCGCGGGAGTGCTGCAATTTCTAGACGTGAACGTGTTCACGGGGTATGGTTTACTATGTTGCGTTGTCAACCACCTACAAATGTAGTGCAACTATTTTATTTAGGAAAGCCATGTCCAACATCGACCTAGAGAGGAACTTCCGCGAGTCTCTAGAGGAACTAGAAGCTGGACCGAACAATGTTGCGGATCCTAGCCCGTTGTCTAGTAGTCCGGAACCATATATTGCAAGGGAAAAAGGACGCAAAAGAATTAGCGATGGTACGCATGCTCTTCTTAGAACAAGGCGAGATTGTTTCCGACCAAAAATTTCTGTCACAGACACAACAGAAGCAATAAGGCGAGGTGTAGGAGAGGTGACCGAATGCGCTGCTTCTTCAAGGGAAAGTGCGGTTAGAAGAGATGATAAATATGAGCATTTCGGTTAGCAAACTCGCTTGCAAATATTTATCTTCAGTGGGCAAGAGGTATTTTTCAGGAATAAGTGAAGTTTGCAAAAAATAAAATGAAAATTCTTCTCTTATGAAGGCAAAACAAGTGAAGGGTTTGCAAAAAATGGAAATCCTTCTCTCCATAGCCATGCCAACGGAATAATTACGTTCAAGCAGTAGAAGAAATGTTACATCAAGATAAAGAGAACAGGTGAGATAACACTATAAATATGTAATGGAATGAAATTCTTCGGACAAGGCCCCAAAGGTATATCCGTGTCCGACAAACCTCAAATCGATAATCATCAAGACATATGGTGCTCTCTCCATATTGGCTGCTACCTCATGAAAATAAAGAGCTTTTGACAAGCGGTTACGGGCGAGGCATGTGTCTCTGTCTCGATGTTGCAGTGAAGGGGCCAAGTGTTCATGAAGGCGCTCAAACTCTTCTGGTAAGAAATGTGACAAAAATGGAAAAACGTCTTAAAAAACTAATTCGATGTTCGATTTTCGAGGAAATAGACTGAGTATGTTTTTTCTTTAAAATGTGTTGATATAATTGTAGTGCTTTACTTTTCTTCGAGCTTTTTTACACCGACGCGTGTCAAAACTGGAAACCATGAATGCACCGATGAAGATGAAGTAAAACACTTTCGTAACGTATGTACATTATTCGTCACGTATGTAATTGTTGGGTAATAAATTTGTCTTAACAATGAATTTGTTAGGTTATGTAATAAGTTTTCTTTAATGAATTTGTTGAACAAATTGAGACTGACCGATCTCGGGCAGGTGTCCAACGTGATTTTTCGACGCGCTGTCCTTTTGCAGGTACCTGAGTTATGTTTTGGACGGCTTTCTCTGATCGTGTTGACCTCACAAGGGTGTGGTGCAGTAGGAACGAAATTGTCGGCAAGAGGGAGGCNAACCATTGGGGCCCAAATCTGAAGTAAGGTAGATTAGTAAGGTCAGGTGATCCTACTATTCTACTGTACTTCGAAATTGGGCCCAAATAATAGGCGCTAAAGTCGCCAGAATAGGTATGGGTTTCGCCGCGCAATTTGCCGCGCGCCCCCTCGGACGCGCGACTTGACCGTCCCCCGGTGCAGTAGGAACGAAATTGTCGAGTCGCGGCAAGAGGGAGGCTTGCGCGATGGAATGTAGCAGAACGCAGCAGCAGGTAAGAAATACAGGAACAAAGGAACTAATAGTAGAATCATGCAAAGGATCGCATATCGAGTAAGCTGTTTGAAGAACGCTAGAGCTGTAATAACGGCGAAGGAATGGTCCGCGACAGCCGCGTGCGGCGAATCGATTCGGCAGAAAACCTACTGTCCGTCTCCCTCCCCACAGTACTATGAGACGATGATGGCGTTAAGGTTAGTATCTCCTGCAGAAGAAAGCTTCAACCAGTTGTTGGTTGCTATTCCGTGAATTGTGCTCCTGGCAGGTAGATTGGTGAGAATTTCAGCCCTACACTCGCACTTTTCCCTTTATCGTCTCTTAGAATATGGTACAAACCTGCTGTTGTCCAAATTGATGGTAAAGTTGCACAAGCCCGTCCGTGCTTCTGTGTAATCATGCTTTGATTGTTTGAAGAATGAGCTGGAAGAATATCATACTTGCTATCGTGTTCACGTTGTTTATACAAATTTTTAACTCATCGAATTTTTAACTCAACTTTCTTGCCAACCTAACAGGAATCCGTAGTAAAAACATATAGCAAAAAGAAAATGAATGACAGTCTAACAAAAATTATGCAAGTGACATGACTCATTCTCTACTCCGGAACTCACCTGTGATACTCGAATTTTTCCACGTCAAAACTACACTCTCGTTGACGTTTTCTAGTTATCGAATCCGTTGTTTCCGTTGAGACATTTCCGATTAAAAGCAATCCCGCCTTGTCCAAAATCTGCGATGCGCACCATCAAAACCTCGGCTCTTTCAAGTTACGAGCCCCTTCTCCCAGAACAAAAAAAGAACTCAAAACAAATAACACAAAATCAAGAATAAAAAAGGACGAAAAATAAGGAATAACGAAGAACAAAAAACGCACGCACAACACACCAACACCACAACGCACTAGCTAGAGTACGAAGCAGGAAATAATAGACACTCATCTATGATGGAGATCTGAATGCTAACCTTGCGGGCGTACACAGTAGACTGACCATAAAAACGAGACATGATAAAAAAAAAATCACAAAAATCTGCTGATAACTTGGCAAAATAGGGAACCATCCTCCGCTCACTCGCGTTGTGCCGGCACCGCGCAGCATGAGTCATGGGCTGCGAGCTTTCGAGCGACGATTACGCAGACTAAATCAGGATGGGGTAACAGAACTTCTCCCCGAATTCCCACGGTCTGCGGCAGTGGTTCTATGGCGAATCTCCGTATCCTTCCATTGGGAGTTCAAATCTTTCCCTTCATAGCGCGCGATCGCGTGCGACGAGCGCGCCGTTAGGGGAGGAGATGCCAAACCGAACCAGGATGTCAGGGGCGCCACCTACTATGAATGCGCCCACATAAGTCTGGCGCTGATCTCTGTGAGTTTTTCTTCTTTCCGTTGGACTTTCACAAGCGCACACACAGAACATAAACCTTTCTCATTTCTCAACGTATGGGGCTACAATTCTGATCGAAACGCACACCGTGGCCTAGTTATTCGAAAACATGATAGAGTTAAAGGCACAGTTCACGATGAAAATGATTTCTGAGATTTCCCTATAGTATGAATTCGAGGCTTGTACCATATCTAGGGCACAATAAGGAATCAAAGAATGTATCGTGTGAATTGCCACACCCCTAGTGGACGAGTTTCAACGGCTTCATAGAAGCTACACCATTTACAAGGAAACCAATGTAGGAAGTTCAAACAACTTGTCATGACCCATATCGACAGTGAAAGGCAATTCTAAACAGTTATGGTTTGGTGTAGTCAGCTCTTTGCCCGATGGGAGCAATAAAATCCGAAAGCCCATCACATGCCATTCCTGTCGCGGTGATCATATAAAACCTCCATTTCCGCTACTTTTGAAAAGCTCAATGTAGCCGGATTTCCTTGCTTTCTTCGCCACCGATGTGCTCCTCTACATCAACACTTCCGCTTTTCAACCTCAGGAGGGTACCTCAAATTATCAAGAACAGTACCTTTCAGATATCTGTGGAGAAGATGATATTCCTTACATAGGTAGCTTGTTGTCTTTTTCGCTGGTATATGAGCTCAGCCACTTTTTAAGTGAGAAATTTTTTCCAAATTTATAACCCGTCTGTCGAAACCTCCCTCCATATGGCTTACCCTGTTCTCTCTGCTATTCAGTCAAGCAACCTACTTGAAAATTTGGACAATACATACACTCTCTAACCTCTACCTAACCGCTCTAAGACGTGAAGTCGTTTCGTGAATCCACTAAATACTTCTTTCCTTGACTGCGCTTCTTGCCCCGTGATGACGAAGAGTTTTGTTGAAAACTTTATCTGAAGCTTGTATATCGGCTTCTCAATGAATGAGCAAGAATCATAGAGATACAAACACAGTACAAAAAGCACCTAAACAGCAAAATTTCTCAAAACACCGGCAAACTTTGAAAAAATTCTAATTGATTCAAGAGCTTCCGAGGCAAATGAATTTAGTCAATTCTGGTCGAGACCATACGATTAGTTCTGGTAGTATAAAGCTAATAAAACCTCTAAAAGTTCATACAATGTACATATTACCCGTACAAATATTTACAAATATGATGATCTTTGGGATGACTCTTGTGCTGACAGCACTTACTCCTGAAAGGGGATAGAACAGGACCTTCAGGACTATCATAAGACCTTGGTCATTTTTGTGACGGCAGAATGTGTTAATCGAGCTTCATCTTCATTATCACATTCATCTGGTAGTACTACGGTATTGATACGACAGTCGATGGACTTCAATAGTGGGACGACGTCAACCTGAATCAACTTGAATCAGGATAAACACATCGATACCGTAATTCCAGTCAGTGCGAGGCAGGGATATGACAGCTACAGTGAAAGGTACTGGGTAAGTCAGACCTACCAAGCCTATGTACAAGGTATGTACAGTACTTCGTCGTAGGATACTCTTGAAATAGATAGTTATCAGTTGATACGGTGAAATATTCCTAATGCGACCGGTATGTGAACGTCCAAATGGGTTCGAGCTGGAATGAAAACAGTGGAGCAATCAACAGATCCCTCAAACCATCGTGAGAATTCTGATGTGCCGCTATGTGTTTACNTGGATAAAATTTTGTAAACAACAATAAATTACGTACTAGTCTGTCAGGACAGTCTTGACATCGGTCGTTCCACAATAGCTTGAACTGAACTCCTTTCGTAATCGTGATCCGTCATCAAAAGCGACATCAATAAAGTAGTACTGTAAAATAATTTTTTGAGAGCATATTATGATCCCCTGCTATGCTGAATGTTTTGAAAGAACAAACTGGGCCGAATAAAATAAAATAGTGAAGTAAAAATCATCAAAAATCGATAGAATAAAAATCAAGAGAAATAGTTGTCGAGATAAACTCTATTCAGATTGAAAAAATCGAACTTGAAAAAAAAATCCCCTTTGATAAATAGAACCGGTTCAAATAATTTTTGTTGGTTGCACAACTACTGATGGAAGTTTTAAAGTTTGGGAGTTCGGGACCGGAGTGCCCTGGAGGGAGGCCACCTTCTTGGCCTCCTTAGGTGGTAACGGCGCGAAACGATTAACCACCTGGAATCGGAGAAAGCAAACCAGCACGAGTCCGCATGAATACGTGTTTTCGAACAGACAAGGAGACATATCGTAATGTATCAGACTATACTGCGCAGTTATAATATATGTAGTATGGGCGGATATGGTAATGAGCGATGCGGTAGTGATAGCCCTTATGTTCATCCTCAACCACTCCGTAATATGGCATTGCGACTGCGTGCCTACAAGCTCCTTTGATCCAATCAGCTCCAGCAAGCGGACTCTCTTCATGCAAACCTCCCACTGCCGTAATTCATCCTCCTGTCAAGTTACGAAAAGGAAGTCTCGGTTTGCGGGCAGTTCATTCTAGCTTTCCTATCAACACTAGCTTACACAAATATCATCTTAGTTTACGAGAGAACAAATAAATAATGAATAATTAAAACAATAAAAAAATAATAGAGCCCTAACTTCTAGGTGATCATGGAGGTTGTGAACATTGATTTAAACAAAATTCGTCATATCAAGTGTAGTTGTAGGCTTACATTGATGGAAGGCATTCCACGAACGATGACACCCGAAAACTTCTCCCGCCTTGCATTGACAATTTGTCGACAACGACAGCTGACCATGGACAATGTTCGACGTTCAGAGAAACTCAAATAATCACAGACAGCGCTGATAATCTCACTCGGCAACTCATTCCAATTAATCATCTGAAATCATCGTCATATTTTAATTTTTTACAGGATATATTGAAAAGATACAAGAGAGAGTACGAGCATTCGCAAACATGATACGTCGCTAAGAGGATATTGACCAGTCCTACTTTGAGATGCGCCCACCCACTCGATTCCCATTCCAAACATTTTAGCGTTTCAATGCGTTCTTTGCTTTTACACCGTTGAAAGGTTCAGTGGTCGGGCAGAAGTAAATCCAGATTTCACTCCTCACATCACGGTAGCAGTTACGGCAGCTTTGTGAATTACAGGGAAGAGGAGGTAGGTAAGACACAAAGAGAAACGGAATGACCCGTTGTATGGCTTTGACTTGATGTTTTTGTTGACTGCTGTAATTTCACTGCAGAGCGCGACGTCTCACAAAGTTCGCGAGTTGAGAGCAAAAGAGTGGCCCCGGATGGAACTGGGACCCCTTTTAAGCTATGGCCTACATGCCACCAAAAAGATTAGGGCAAGCGATGTGTCAATAATGAAAGAATGAAGAGCATGGTGTACGAAAGCACAAGCACAGCTCCGTCCAAAGCGGAAGTTGCGTCCATGAGTCGTCAACCTTGAGGGACTTTCTAGAGCGATAAACATGATTTACGTAACTTATTATCCAAATAGCTCGAGGAAAGGACATCAAAACATGTCCATAACTTTGGCCAGCTTTTCCGAAATAGCATAGTATAACTATGACGTTTTCCCAAACAGAAATTCGAACCGATGGTAACTGAAAAGTCGCGTATAGTCACAAGCTCCCAAAGCCTAGCCTACCACCTGACAAGCTGTAGCCTGGCAAGTTGAACAAAGATGTCTAAAAAACTATGAGGTTAAATTATTACGTAAACACATGAAAATCCGAGCGCTATAGTTCTGTATATACAAAGAGATACAAAAAAGGAAATAAAAAAATAGTAAAACTAGGCTAATGCTATATTCTCAAAAATTTCACTGAGTTCACGTTTGATTCGCTACCATGCCGTGGACGCATTTGAACGTGTACCCACTAACGCAATGATTACAATGAAATGTTAAGAAAAATATGTAAGGTGAAGTCCAATGGCATGGATCAATCCCGCTTTGGAATCCGCCCACGCACTTCATTCTCGTTCAGAATTGTGAAATTTCTGAAGGACCGATATATCCGGTGCAAGGCAGAGGTGGGGTTCAATACCTGGTTTATTCATTGGTAGAGAACCGATTGGTATTACCCCACAGCCACACAATTCATGCCATCTTTGGAATATGGATGATTATTACGAAAAGCGAAAGTGGTGTAGTGGCAAGTGGCGCACTATATCTCACGCACGGTCAGGGGTTCAAATCCCGGATCAAAAAGACAAAAACACTGATTTGTACATCGGCTGGCCACCGCAAGCTATTGTAAAGGCCATATACGCACTCGGATTCATTAACGCCCAAAACTTTACCCTTTTACCCTTTATTACGGAAAGGCATTTAGGTTCCGGCGCTCATCTTTATATGGATAGATATGCGGATTATATTAGCGAATTTATCTTTTCCAATATTTAGTCGATGTATGGTCCGCTAGCGTCTGAAAGACCTCGTTTTTCGACCAAGCAAGTAAGGATTTTTCATTTTCCAACTTTCTTGAAGACATGGCAATGGTTGAGAGCCCCTGCAGCCTATTTGTTAAAAGTCTTCTGCCGTTCGAGGTTTTTAGATGGAACACTTAATTAAATTAACGGCCTAGTACTTGTCATTCTTAAGGAACGGTGATGAAGTGGCCTTAGATAGAGCCCTAATGAGTAGATACAGAGTGTAGTGAAAATTGAGCTGTGTGAGACAAAGCATTCTTTCTTGTATAAACATAAACGGCAGCCGGTTTCAGTGTTGAAGGCAGTAAGTGCAACAACCTGTTTCGGTTGAAAATGAGATATAAAGGTCGAACGGGAAGGTCACGAGGCCATCGGTGTTAGACAACTAGTAGAAAACTCTACATAAGTACTTAGATGTTCATTGACCGATCCTTTTCAATTCGCCTGAAAGTTCTGCTTGAGTTCGGAACCTTAGTGGCTTTGGATGCCCAAACGGCTTGTACAAAACGGTTATGTATCGATTTTACGAAGGCCAACCGACGTACAACCCCATGGTCGTGTCTCCGAGTGGTAGGAANTCGGTTGAAAATGAGATATAAAGGTCGAAAGGGAAGGTCGCGAGGCCATCAGTGAAAGACAACTCGTAGAAAACTCTACATAACTTCTTAGATGTGCATTGGTCGATCCTTTTCAATTCGCCTGAAAGTTCTGCTTGAGTTCGGAACCTTAGTGGCTTTGGATGCCCAAACGGCTTGTACAAAACGGCTGTGCATTGATTTACGAAGACCACCGACAAGCCCATGTTTCCTAGAGTTCCAATAAATCTGTCGCTGTGTCTCCGAGTGGCAGGAAAATATCCAAGACTTGTAGTCTTGCTGTCGACGCGAGATTCAATCCTCGAACATACTCTTGGTAGAGGCCGCCACTTTGCACTACTCCACTGCACCATCAGAAGCACCAGCATCATGGACGTAATAATTTAGACTATTAAGTAAAGCGTGATATGAACGAAACAAGAGTGGGGGAAATGATCTGGCCACAAAACAAAAGCTTGACCGAGTAGGAGAGATGTATTTAAGAACCATCGAGAAATTAGTTATTCCCAGAGAAAGGTAATCGCACACGAGCAAACATTTCAGAATACAGCCAGGACTACAGTAGCCCTCTCGGAATCGACTCCTGTACCGACTCCTGGAGCCCTTGACCCACTGGAGGAAGAAAAAGTGTTGTTTCTTTATCGTGAATTCAACTAATGACCCTCGATTGAAGACCAGTTCAAGGGACTTCAGTTTCTTCAGCTTAAATGGATATGGTAACCCCTCAGAGCCGCTCGTGAGGCTTGGCTCGAGAGCAGTATGCCGGAAAGAGAAAAAATTCTGGAAGACCAGGATTTACACTTCTGAAGATCTGAGGACAGGATCAGATTAGTTTCATGAAAAAAATAATAACCCACTCTAAAAATCGGGAGTAAACCTGCTCATGATTGATTCATTTGAAGAAAAATCAGTTTCAAAATTTCAGTGTATAAATGGGTTAGGAAAGTGACATCTCATCTCTCAGGGAATTGACTACCTGGGCTTAATAAGTGGAATAGTTGGGTACATACATCGAGTATTGAATCGAATAATAACAGCTGAGGAAGATCGCGAATTTCAGAAAGAATTCACGGAAGGCCTCAATGCCTTCCCCAGTGTACGATCTTTTCAAGGTGAGCCGAACTGAGAATGGGAGCAAGGGAGACATTCTGCTGGTAATGCTGGCAATTTTTTCTGGTATAAATTATCGGCAGCAAAATTGAAATCAAACCGACTAAACCGGATTAAATACATAGAGAACAAACTTCTGCAAATGAAGAAACTCTCAAGAGAGATTAGCAAATAGCAAGGTGAATGAATTTCCAAAAAGAAATGGCGGTGGGAACAATCTCAACAGGTTTTTGAAGTTTCCAATAACAAACTTGCAGAATTCAATTTCTTAACTTTTCATTTATGCAATTTATCGCCCCTCTGCCTTTGCAAATTGATCAAAGTTCAGTTTCAATTCATTCAAAACAAGTAACTGACAATATTTGGGAGAGAGAGGAAATTGAAAACGTAGTTTTCCCAAAGTGACTTGGGAACCAAAGAGCATCGATCGTATAGGAATATGGGTGCTATAACAATGTAGCGCATTAAGCAGGTGTAATGGTAAAAAGGGCGGTACAACAAGTAAGTACAGTAAGTGCAAATGGCATACCCCCGTGATGAGTAGGAAAATCGATGGAACAATCAGATTATAGCAGACGGGCGACACTTTAAAAACCCTGATCATATGATCGCCCACCTCTTGTTATGATAAAGTGGCAATGGGGGAGGGGGGGTGGGAACCAACGTCATCGAACTTTTCCTGTCCGCCTATCTCCGAAGAGAATTAACTTACTAATCTTTCCAGAACAACACCAGACTATTGACAAAGGCATCAAAAACCTAAATCAAGACACTAAAAAAGGTTTCAGAGGGTAACTCGGGCTAAGAGGAATGGCAATGACGATTTCACCAAAGAAAAGCAAGACTGCAGCTCCTTTAATTTCACTGACGTTCTCGAAATAACTTGGAAAAAATGACGTTTGCTCGTGTAAGTACAAATGCCCTTCTGGGGAGGGTAAGGTCCACGGATCCCAGACGAGAAAGAAGAAATGGATGGCGCCAATGACTCATGAATTCCCCAAGATATCCTTATGAAATGTGGAATTACGTCAAAAAAGGCTCGGTGGCCCTAATGAAGAAAGGAGTGGACTATTCATTTTTGCCAGTGCTTCCAGTATGCGCCGTGCATCTCACTTAGCTAAGAACTAGAAAGGCATCGAAATGCGACCTTTAACCCTACTTAGCAACTTTCAATATCAAGTTCAAATGGGGGTTGCCCTTCTCGACAGTCATGGCCACCACATGGCAGGCTACTTTGCGATTGGGGACGATTCCCAAGAATAGGTCGACACTTCATGGTAGTGTACTGCCTTCACTATCAAGAGAAGTGATTCATGCTTGCACCCGAGCTCACCCAGATATTTGTCTGCGGACAAACAGAATTCTGGAAATTGTAGCACTACAATACAAGGTACAAAACGATTCAAACTACAAATTCGACAAAAACGAAATTGAACATTAATCGAAGTCCAGTTACAGTAAACTGAAGAAAGCTTTGAATAAAAAGACCAGAAAGCACTGCTACAAAGATAAGGTATCTCCTCTACACATATGTAGGGAGAAGTAGGGAAGCTGCCTTCACCGGTAATGAGGTAGAAAGTGTTCATGAATATAATATCAGTCTGAACAGTAACTGCCCATGGGAGTGAGAAATGTCATATTTCTC